ATCTTCATCTAACTCGGATGATGAGGGAAGGGAGCTTAGAGTTCAACAACGTAATGAAGTGTGTCTTATGATACAACACGTAATGCATGAGTACATTCCACCAATTATTCAAGCTGCCACTCAGCAACGCCGACGCAAATCTACTGAGCCACGAAAGGATAGGGGACGCGAAGAAGGTCATGCACGGTTATACAATGACTATTTCGCGGAAGTCCCAGTTTATCCAAGTTCCTTGTTCCGGCGCCGGTTTCGAATGCGTAAACATGTGTTTGAGCGCCTTCTCAACGCAGTGACCCAACATGACCCTTGGTTTCAACAAAGGCGAGATGCGGCAGGTCGTCTTGGGTTGTCTCCACTTCAAAAGTGCATTGCGGCCGTTAGACAACTAGCTTACGGGTGTGCTTCAGACGCTTGTGATGAGTATGTCCGTGTAAGTGAGGCTACTTCACGATTGGCACTCCAAAAGTTTACAGAAGGTGTCATCAACCAGTTCGGTGATCAGTACCTACGCCGTCCAAACATCGCAGATATGGAAAGATTGCTACGTATTGGGGAAGAACGTGGATTTCCTGGCATGATAGGCAGCATTGATTGTATGCACTGGGATTGGAAGAACTGTCCACACGCATGGAAGGGGCAGTATCAAGGAAGAGCAGGAGTTGCAACTCTCGTACTGGAGGCAGTTGCGGACAGAGATCTATGGATATGGAATTCGTTCTTTGGGATGCCAGGTAGCTGCAACGATATTAATGTGCTTCATCGATCCCCTGTGTTCGAAGACGTCTTAGATGGTCGAACACCTGCTGTGAACTTCGTAGTCAATGGTCATCATTATACGAATGGGTATTATCTTACTGATGGAATCTACCCTAGATGGGCTACTTTTGTGAAATCCATTACGAGTCCACAAGCTCGTAAGGATCGTTTATTCGCAAAACACCAGGAAGCTGCAAGGAAAGACGTTGAACGCGCATTTGGGGTCCTTCAAGCTCGTTTTGCCATTATTAAAAAGCCGTCTTTGGCGTGGGATACCGACATACTCCACAATATCATGCTCGCCTGCATCATAATACATAATATGATCGTTGAAGATGAACGAGAGACGTATCAAAATAACGTTAATACCAATGAGTTTATGAATGCTGGAGGCAACGCTAATGAGGACACTACCGAGTACCGTACTGATCGTATTGTGGATATCGGCTTATACTTCACTCGTAGAACAGAGATTGAGGATCAACAGACTCATTTGCAGCTAAAAAACGACTTGGTCGCACATATATGGAATAAATTTGGTAACAACGAGAACTTACGCAATTAGGTTTACAACAAATGGTTATCCCTAAGGACATCTTACAAAACGATGTGTAGTAGTTCTTTTTTTTTTAAAAAAAAAATGTACTTGATTATAGTTGTAGTACTGTAATCACGATCTGTACCTCTTTTTTTTTAATTATGTTAATTAAAATTAGCTGCGTTGTTGTTTAAAAATATTGATCACAAGAATTAGTTTTTAAAAAAGCTGATAAAAAACGCGATAATTTCTTAATTAGTAATCACGATTAAAAAATTAAATACGTCAATTAATTACATTGACATCGAGTTAATAAATTATAATTATGAATTAAATAGATTATATTTACAAAAATAAAATAAGGTGGGGTAGGGAGTATTGATGATGAACCATTGTTTAGTGTTCATTGTTAAGAGTGAATATTGTAAATGGTTTGTTGGGTTGATGTGGATGAGAGAGAAATGGTGATAGTGACCCATGAACCATTTTTTTTTGTTCACCAATAATGATGCCCTTAGTACCCTTGTTTTAATGATTGGTACGTATTTATACTATATGTTAAGGGAAAGTTTGTATATACTTCGCATTTTTGGATGTGAGGAAATGAGGATGTTTGGATGATGGTGGAAGTTATATGCTGAAAACCTGACAAGTGATAACATTTAATCAAAAATAAAAATAAAGCATAGTATAATAAAAGTTTAGAAAATTTGAGGATTAAGGGGTTGGAAAGTTGTCATAAAAAGTTAGTTTTTATTTTTTTTTATTTTTTTTAAGGGGGGTTGGTAAGATGAAGGCCCTATCAGGCCAGAATCCCTCATGGGTCAATCTAGTTAGAGTTAGCGGGCTAGATAATTTGGGAGAGTGGGGGGCAGGTAAGGGAATCCCACTTTCCAAATTGTCACTATTGGGGATTGAACCTCCAACCTCATGGTTGGAAGATGCTCTCCTTTCCACTAAACCAAGTTTGCCTGGTATTAAAAGTTAGAAAATTGAGTATGCGATCATTATATAAATAGTGTCATAGTAGACTAATCCTTTTTAAAATAAAAATTGTTGGTGGTAATTATCAAATTTCCATTTTTTAATTTTAAGAAAATTACATACTATGGTAATATCGAATTTTATCAATCAATTTGTATTGGGACAAATCAATCTTTTATTAGTTGGGTCAAAATCATAGATCGGATAGGACTAATATAGTTAGACCTTTTTTTTTTTTTTTTTTTTTTGAGGAAGTTAGGCCTTGTTTAGTCAACTTATTTATACTCATTTCAGAAAAAATAAGTTAAGATCAGATATGAAAAAATAAGTTCTGACACACTTTTATCATTTTGAGTGCGGTTTTTTTTATTGCTAAATATCTGTAATTTCGTGATGTAAAAATTATTAAAACTACATATCGATAAATATACATTATTACGAATCTAACAAGATCCCACTTGATATATTGTGTTTTCATCATGGATTATCGTACAATTAAGGTTAAATTTAGTCTAATCAAACAATTAAATCAGATCAAACCATACTAGATTAGATTAGGGGTGAGCAAAAATTCCGGGTACCCGAAATTGGAACTGGAAATGGCTAGGAACCGACGGGTTCGAAACCAGAAATGGACCCGGTGGTTCCAATTAATAAATTAAGGAATCGGTTGCAATCGGTTTCAATTCCAATTCTCAATTTTTAAGACCCAGAACCGGTTGGATACCCGATTACCCAACATATATTAAACTAAATATTTTTTTTTTTAAAAAAAAACAAAAATATGTTTAAGGTATTAGTTAGTTTTATAAAAGAAAATATGTTTAATACCTAACATAAATAAAATAGCTTAATGCATATATACATATAAGTATTATACGCTAATTTCTATTATATATTAACAATTATATACATAAGTGGATACCTGGAATCGGAACTGGTATCCGGTAGTTCCAATTCCAATTCCTAAATTTTAGGACCGGTTGAACTCATTCCGGTTTCGAACTTTAGGACCCGGTCCCAACCAATTCCGGGTCCGATTCTTATAATTTTGACTGCGTACCCGTTTTGCTCGCCCCTAGATTAGATTAAATCAGATCAGACCCAATCAAATACTCCGTAAGCAAAAACAAGGCAATAAGTCTTGTGTAAGGCGGACTTACGTTAATTTTATTATAAGATGATCAATTTAAGGGTAACTTTAACAATTTTTATGGTAACTTTAACCCCGTTAAGAATAACTTGTACTTTGTATAAAAGTTTGATTGTATTTTAATGTGTAATTTCTAATAAATACATGCTTTGAACGCTAATATGATTAATCTAATACATTATAAATATTTTTTAAGGGTAATATTTTTGTTATAAAAATAGAAGTAACTTTTGTAGTATATAAAAATTGTAACTTTCAATATTTTTAGAGTGACATTAACCCGTCTTACAATAATTAATAAAAGTAAACCTTAATCAAGAATTTAAACCAGACTATAGTTATAGTTGTACTCCCTCCGTTCCCTTTTGTTTTTGACGTTTGGAATTATGCGCGGTTATTAAGGAATCGTAAGTATAAAGTTGAGGTATATTAGCATAAAATCAATGATTGATAGTACAATTTTAGTTAAAAAATAAAAAAAATTGTACAAGTGGGGTAACAAACGTAGGAAGAAAGTAGAAGAGAGAGGAGAGATTATGTATTAATGAGTATTGGAAAACCATAAAAATAAGACAAAAAGTACAATTGCACGTGGAAAGTAGTGACATTTGAGTATTTATATTATAAAGCAAGGGTAATTCTGTCGTAATTTTATGACTAAAAAAGGAAAAAACTAAATGTGAAGAGTAAAAAGGAACGCCCTAAGGGGGCATTTGGTATCAAATTAGTATAGGTAACGGATTGGAAACAAATTAGGAGGGGGGGGTTTGATTGTTTGTATTTTAATATTCTAAACATATTAAAATACAAATAAAATACAAACAATCAAAATCGAAATTATACAAATTCAATACAAATTTCAACACAAATTCAAGATCTAGGGTTTCCTTAACAAAAAAAAAATTGATAAATAACAAACCTGTTTGTTGAGATTGTTGATTTCAGGAAATTTGAGGTAGGAAAATTGGTCTAATTGAGAGTAATCTGGAGATTCGATCAATCAAATTTGGGATTTTTTTGGAATTATGGAATGAGAAGAGAGAGAAGAGGATAGATTTGGTTTTTTTTTTTTTTTTTTGTTTATAGGAAAGTTACGTGATTTGTTTTCCCCAGTTTTCACATCGAAAATAAAAGCGGTGGAATGGGTTATTACCCAGAAACGGGTTGTGTTACTCTAGTGATTAACCAAACGGATTCAAACGAAAATAGTAATCTGATTTTGTTTCATTTCCCATGAAAACCCATACCAAACACCCCTAAATGAAAACGTAAAAAATAAATGGGAACGGAGGGTTTAAAAGATTTAAACCAAAAAGCATTAAAACAGTGATAGCAAAAAATAGATGCTCCATAGCTGAGATAACGCGCTTGAGCATACTACCACAACACTCGCGACCACATGCATCCACATCACACAACTTTCATTTAAAAAAACTAAACTGATTGGCCCGTCAGACGTGTTAACACTCAGTAGGCCCCATACTATCTCTCATATATTTAAATCGCGTTACCAACACTCTCTCAACCTCGCAAATATCTCTTTCCTTCTCCTCCCACCTACTTTTATTTTCATGGTTTTGTAAAAAGTGACAAACACTAAAATTTTATAAAAGGCGTTTGAAATCTCAAGCGGCAATTTCACTGTTTCTCTCTCACTTCTTCCATTGAATCTCTGTCTTCTATCTTACGGCTAGATCGAGGAGAGAAAACTGTGTTTAGAGAGAGAAACAAATCAATCAATATCAATGGCGTTTATGTCGTTTGTTGGAAGAGTACTCTTTGTATCTGTCTTCATCCTCTCTGTTTGGCAAGAGTGAGTTTTTTTTTTTTTAATTGAATCTGATTTTAATGCTTAATTTTTTGGTTTTTCTTTTAGATCTGCTTGTTTTTCCGCTTTCGTTTTTTAAATATTTGTTTTTTTCTAAGTTAATCTGTTGATTGCAGTTGTAATTGTTGAATTTCGGGTTTTGAGTAGAAAGTTGTAGTACTGAGGAATTTGAAATGTGCGTTTTTGTTTAATCTGAAATTTAGGTCTTTGTTGCAAATTGATTTTGATGTTAATTGATCTGATGCTTATAGCTGTGTTCTTCACTGTCAAATTTAGCCGACTTGCATGAGTGATTGGCATTCAATTTTAGAGGTGAACTCAGTGCTAAGAGCAGTGGATTTGTGATAAAACAATGCAATTGATTGATTTGATCTGATTTAAGATCTAGATCAGTCTCCCATATGTGATTGTTGACTTCAATCTCTTCAGATCTTTGTTATCTGATGATTCCTTGACTTTTTGTCGACTTGTCTCTAGTCGCAAATTCTCTTGGAAGTTAATAAATCGTTTTAGAAGCAGTTGTGTTGCGAGAACTGTTATCATTGTATTTTCTTCAAATCAATTTTGTCCGTATTTTACAATGTATGTAAAAGATGTGCATAGTTTCACTTATTATCATCTCAATATAAATTATCAAAATTTAACTTTGTATATTTTTGGTTTTATATGTTCGAAAATATTAATGATCAATGATGCGCATTAGTGACCGTACAAAATCCAAGTGATTCGAAACTTTGGGAACTAAGGGAGTGTATATATATTGTATGTTTTTTTAGTTAACTTTAGGAACTAAGGGAGTGTATACATATTATATGAAGGGGCTTAGCTTTATATTTTGATGTCCTATTTTTTACCTTGTGATTTTGGAAATTGTTATCATTTATAAACTAATGCATTTGTAAATAGTGATTGTGCTCTTATTTTGATCATGCTTTCCCATTTCTGTTGGAGGCTTTCCTACATTCATGGTTAATTTCTTAAGGAATTTGCTACTTTTCATGAATATGCTTTGTAATGCTTGTAACGTTTTAAGATCAAGTTTTGGGAAAAAGTGTTGACATATTGCAAAGCTAAGGAAGCTTTCTTAATTTTCAATATTGATGTGTTAGGCAATCACTAGTCCTTTTTTTGGGTGTCAACCTACAAAGTTCAAATGATGTAGATGGGATTCAATCCTTGGGTATTTACCCCAAGATTTTGACATAAGTATTTCTTTTTTTTTTTTTTTTTTGGCATTACCATATAAGAAAAGGGATGTTCGTTATGGCTGTGGCATTGCCCTGAAAAAAATGTGTGGATTGTTTCTCTAACTTAATGGGAATGATGTGCTTTAAAGTTTAAAGTGAACTTAAAATATTTTAGAGTTGCATAACCTCTCTCTTTACGTTATGATTTCTCCATTATTCTTTGCTTTCTTTGCTATATTTTCTGTTTGTGTGAATCTGCAAGTCTGTAACACGACCATTTCTTCTAGGGTGGTTATTTTGCTTGTGGACCTACTACATTACCATTAATGTGTCCTTACACTATAATTTTTTTTCTTTTTTGTGTAGGTTCAATGACTTTGGTGTTGACGGTGGGCCCGCGGCTAGGGCATTGCGTCCAAAGTTCAATGCTTTTTCTAAACATGTGTTATCACACACTGGGTTTAAACTGCCTCCAGTTGAGGTGAAATTTCATTTTTCCCTTTCATTTATTACCATCATCGCATTAAGTAATATCTTGTTGATTATTACTTGAATACTTTATTCACTGTTGCTAAGCTGTTCTCCCTTTTTTGTTAACAGATGCAACATTTAATTGCTGCCTCAATAGCCTTGAAGGGACTTGGGAGTCTTCTTTTCATATTGGGAAGCTCTTTTGGAGCTTATCTTCTCGTAAGTAGACATTAGTTTATTGTCCCTCTTTTGAGCTCAGCCTCTAGCCCCTAACCAAGTAGTGTAATGGTTTAAGATTGTCTTGCTTCCCTTATATGTTTTTCATACAGATTTTGCACCAAGTGCTTGCTACCCCTATCCTGTACGACTTTTACAACTATGATGCTGATCACAAGGAATTTGCGCAACTCTTTATCAAATTTACCCAGGTGAGGTTTAAAAGATGTACACAGTGTACATATTTCTGCATCAGACTTGCTTGCCTTCTTTTTCTGCTTTAGAATTCAGGTACTAGTGTTTCTCATTGCTATAAGCTGTTACTTTGTAGAATTTGGCACTTTTTGGCGCTTTGCTTTTCTTCATTGGCATGAAGAATTCTATGCCAAGACGGCAAGTAAAGAAGAAGGTCCCCAAGACAAAAGCAATGTAAGAAGAGTTTGGGAGTTAAATTGTAGCTGAGGACAAGGACACAAGCAAAGGATTATGAGAACTGTTACCCTTTTCAGGACGTAATTTTTGTACCCATTGTATCCATTCCCTTCTAGTAGTCGCTGGATCTCCTTTTATTTTAACCTACTCCGTAGTATCTTGATTTTGGCTCTTGCTGTATTTTTTTTTTCCCAATGTAGACTTAAAATCTTATATTGATGTTAATGCAAAGATATGGTAGGCACATTTTATATTTTCATGGTGATACATGTCATTTTTAGACTCATTATATGGTTGCAGGGGATGTTTCTTTTCCATCTTTTTGCATTCAAAAAAAAAAAAAAAGAAAAAATCATCGAGGGGATTAGAATCTTTAGTTCATTCTATGAAGACAAGTCACAGCTTTGAAAGGGGCAAGCTGTGGCAAGTTAGTCTTTTGGAGATGTTCACCAATATCTTGTATTTTCTGTTCTACTGGTTGTAAATCTTTTACTTCAGTTTCCTTAATACAAAGAAATGATGTTTTGGGCATCTAGTTATGGGCAAAGAAATACTCTCTTAGTCCCTTTTTTTTGTGCCTGCATATTTTTGGAGTGTCCTTTTGGGACTGCTCCATTCTTATTTGGTAAATACTTTTACTTGCAACCCCAATTCCTACTCCCTTTCTCTCATCATTAACACCACTTATAATCCTATGTGTACAATTTTGTGTTTTGTCTCATTTCATAATAAAGTGAACTTTGCTGTTTGAGCAATAAAATAGGGATTGAGGGAGTAACATTAAAGTGGGTAAGTTTTGATATAATTCAAATTGATTCTCGAAAAATCAGGACTCAAGTTATGACTTACGTTGTTCAATGATATCTGTACAGATTACCCAAAAAAAAAAAAAAAAAAAAAAAGAGCTGAGTGACATGGCAACAAAAAAGTTTCTTGATTATTTTTACAAAGTACGGTGAAAGAACCAATACTACTCCGGTGTTATTACTTCCTATTTGTTAGTAGTTACATTTCCAATTTTCCATGAGTAGTTTCATAATATTTAATTTTTATAATTTTTACTTATTGATAATTAGATATATTTTTTATTAATTAAAGTCTTGCATGGGAATGTGTAAAAGTCTTTTTTTTCAACAAATAAACAATAGTGGAAGTATTGTTTTCACTAGTAAGGTCCTATTCTATTCACATTATTCAAATAATATTTAGTAAACATAATTTAAGTTTGATAATTTCAATTTAATTTTTTTTCAATTTAATTTAATTTAAATTTAATTAATATAAGTTTAGTTTGGTAAAAAAAAGTTTTAATCGGTAAAATTATTAAATTTTAAAAACAAATATAATAGCAATTAGTAAAAATAATTTAATTTCAATGAATATTTTAATTTCAGCAAAAAAAACAAAAGATGAAGTGAATACGGCAAACACAACTTGATTTAAATTGAAAATTAAAAATCTAAACTTTGACTGAGCATAATAGATTATAGATCTATCTGATCTAAAATCATGTACGAGTAAATGAAAGACGGGGCAAAATCACAAAAGTAAAAGATAGAAATTGACCCAATTTAAGAATATATTTTCTTCACCTTATTATTTGAAAAAATTGGTTTAGTTTGGTAAAAGCAAGTTTTTTATTTTTGAAACAGGTAAAACAATTTTTATTTTTTTTTAGAATAGGTAAAACAAGTTTTAGTATACTCTAATAGCAGTAATAAATTTTTATATGTTTAAAAAAAATTACAGCGCGTTTTGTGTGCGGCTGATTATACCATATGACTACTTATAACATTGACCGAGTAACCCCGTAATAATTGGCCAATGCCCACACGTTAAAGTTTGTGAAAAATTTATTATGTACAAATAATTTGTTTTTAATACAAAAAAAATAATTTAGATCAACAAAAATGAGAGGATGGTAGGTTTGACCCGACCCGATGCAAAGTAGATGAGCAGATTGGCAGGTCTGTGTAGTGATTAGTGAAACCTCCAAAACCAAATAATCATCGTTCTCCTTCGGAAAAACGAGTTGAAGAGAGAGAAAGAAAACAATGGCGTCGGGTTGGGGAATATCAGGGAACAAGGGAAGATGCTACGACTTCTGGATTGACTTCAGTGAGTGTATGTCTCGTTGTCGTGAACCCAAGGACTGCTCTCTCCTTCGCGAAGATTACCTTGAATGCCTTCATCACTCCAAAGAGGTTTCTTTTACCTTTCTCTCTCTTCCATTTTCATTTTCCTTTCTTCACTTTCATCGTCCCCATTTCTGATTATAAAAACCCTAATTTTATTATTGCCTGTTGCTCATTATTTCTTTTTAGATCTTGGTTTTATAATTAATTTTTATTTTTATATTTTTTTGTAAAGATATGGCGATTGGTTTGATGTGTTTCCCTTTTAACAATTTCGAAGATTGCTGCTTGCAATTTTTTGGATATTTACTTGATTTATGATCGCCAATTTTCTCAAACTATTATGGCTTTGTCATTGTAAAATTGATTGTTTGTTGATTAGTGTCTGACTTTTAAATGTATATGAAATGATACGGTTGAGTTAATCAATTGACCTGGGTACAACCATACAAAAAATCATTAGTAACTTACTGTTGTGATTATGTATTGAAGGAAATTGAACATTTTTAGAAAATTACGTTGATCTCTATTATTAAAATTACGGATTAAGGCATTTTAATGTATTGTATCATGAATTTCTCATTAATATTAACCCCTCTTGGGGTTTCCTGTTGAACATTTCCAAATTGAACCTTATTTCACTCCTTCGTCATATGTTGGCACTCTTTTATATTGCCAACATCATTAAGAATACCATTTGCCAAATTAACGCCCGTTCTCTTTCTATTACATCCTTACAATTGTTATCTAAAGCCCAGAAAGAGATCGGAGATATCATACAAGTCTATTTAGGCTATGAAAATAAGAGTGGGTGAAGGGGAGAGAGAATGGGACCCTATCATGGTTGGTCTTTGAGCAAGCTAAATTAGTAAATTAGCAATAAAAATAGTAGATGTATAAAGCTATGAAGCCTAGTGTTTAGATTAGTTCTGGGTTCTATCTATAGTCTGAGTGACAATATTGGGTACTAATCCATAATGTCATATTGGAACTTAGAAGCGATTTTCTTAGCCAAGGTATGGCTTATATATTTTCAGAAATCTGTTGTGGTAAGTGGTTTTAGTAGCTCAGTTTTAGGTGGGATCCTTTTCACAACAACTGAGATTTCTGAAGGTTTGATGGTTGCTGGTAAATAGTGTCACCTGGTAGAAGCATGTAAGCTGTCAGTTATTAGAGCACGGTATGCAGGTGCAGAAAGTTACAGAATTGCCCCAATATGCTATATTGACCTAGTAGTCAGGTGTTTTTGTGGCCTCATTTGTTATTGTTTCATGTATATTATGTAAAACCTTCAGTAGAAGCAAACTATTGGACTCATTCAAGCAGGTTCAAGTGATCCGTGGTATGTTACACCTGTCTTTACCCCTGATGATTCTGTTTTTCTAGCTATTAAGTAGGTGTACAATTGGGGAGTAATGACAAGGACTTTGGAAGTAAGGCTTCTTATTGGGTTTGTTTGTGGGATAAAGCTGTTTCCAGGCCTCTTTTTGAATGTATGTCTTGTGGTCTTTATGAGTTTATCAATTTCGGATGTATAGTGTAATTCAATCAATAAATCAAAGCCTTAATCCTATAAGTGGGGTCGGCTACATGAACCAAAAGTGATCATTCCGTGTAGTCATTGACAAAAATCTTCCTCGTCCATCCCTTACAATCCAATACCTCATTTTCATGCAAATTCATATATTTCATATCCTTCCTAACTTCTTCTAATTAAGTCATTTTCGGTCTCCCTCTCCCTCGTTTAACCCCTCCATGGTCCCACTCTTCCACTCTTCGTACCGGTGCACCCTTGGGTCTCTGTCTTACATGTCCAAACCAAAGCAGACAATTTTCCTGTAGTTTGTCTGCTATGCCTGCCACCCGTACTTTCTTTCGAATAACCTCATTTCTGATGTATAGTGTGATTGGCGCACAAATTTTCCACGCTGGTTTGTTGGACTCTTTACTATACAATATTTGATACATGATTTCTTGGTTCTTTTTAGAAAAAAATATATATATATAAAAAAAATTAGTTTGTAGGAAAATCCAGTTGATGATGACAATTTCCTGTTATTTCGGGTTTACTTCAACATGATGGAGTGTGAATTCATTACACAAATCGTAAAACTTTAAATTCTTCTTGAAGATTGCTGCAGGAAATGAATGGGAATTCTGAAATTGAATATCAGATCATTGGTGATGCAGCAAACTAGGTCTATGATAACTGACCAAATCTGGTTATCTATTCTGTTTGAGATTGATTGAAGTATAAGCCAACCTTTTGTTGGTGAAAAATCTGAGCTTCCTAGTTCATCAATGACATGTAATACAGTTGAAATGATGTAAAGATACATATATGTTCATACCCCTTAAGTGCTCATTATATTTTTAGAAATGAAAAACAAAGGTGGCATCTACTTGATGTTGTTTCCTTGTATTTCCTTCATCCAATTAATTTTCTAGTGTCATCATGGGAATTTGGGGAATGTCTTGGGCACATCTAAAAATGGACAGTTTTTAGGAACAATGAGAATAAATCTTCATGATGGCTATAGCTTAGCTATGTCATAACTCATAACTTTTACAGCTAGGCTTTGAAGGTTGCCAATGGAGAATTCTTTTGCTTTCTTTGATAATATGCTTGCTTTATAGTTATTATTATTTTTTTTCTTTACTGTTCCTGGTTTCCATGATCTGAGGTTACCACTTTAACTAATTGCCAATGCCTCTGGTAGCTCAGATTGTGGAAACATCCCTGCTCATGCAGTTTTCACTGATGGTGCCAAGACTTCCAACCAAGAGTACATCTGGGGAGGGAGGCTCTCATTAGAAGCTTTAATCTTGTCCCAAATTACACTCCCTCCATCGTAATTAGATTATAAGATGCATATAAGCTATCTCCTTTTCAAATATAATTAATATATTTGATCGTGTAACCCAGTTTGCCACTAATTAATTCAAGTGATGAGGATAGAAGCTACAAAAATACAGTAACATGGTTAGGCACATTATTGGCATACTTTATTTTGAGGCTTCCTACGTAATTAAGTATATTTGTTTGATTAATTTGCAGTTTCAAAGAAGGAACAGGGTGTACAAGGAAGAGCAGCGTCAGATAAGAGCAGCTGCAAGAAAGGCGAAGGGTGAAGACAATAGTGATACTCATCACTGATGAGCTATTATGATAAATCTTGGAATTCCGTAATAAAAATTCTGTTGTTTGATTTCGACTGGAATTGCATTATATGCGTTTTTGAGTTTGTCAATTCATCATGTGCAAATTGATGAGGAGAATTTTTGTTTTGCTCGGTTTCCATGACATAAACATTGCGCAAATATTGTTGCAAAATTCTCATCTTGGATGCTTCAAATTTGGCAAAATTCCACTTTTGGCACCTTTGATTTGGGGGTATAATTCTACTTGGGGTTTCTTAGGTAAATTCCACTCTAATTTTTAATTTTTTTTTTATTATTTTTTTTTTAATGCTAATATCTTTCTTGTCAAACTAATGCGTTTTTGAGTTAATGCGCGTGCGTCACAACTAGTCACGGCTGGGGAGTTCTTTCACAGCTTGAATTTGTGTCACAGCTTTAATTGTTGGTAATATTAATAAGGGAAATAGGTAAACAAGTGATTTTAGGGTTACAAATGTTTGCATATCTAGCATCATTAGTATTATTGAGCAAAAACCACTAGGACAGACAATTTTTGGTGGTAATAATGTAAATTTATGTTTGGCATTTGAATAAATGGAGTAATAACTAATACTCCCTCCGTTTTTAAATACTTGCTTTACTTTCCATTTTTGGCCGTTTTTAAATACTTGCTCCATTTCCTCATTTGAAAAACTTTTACAATATTTAATTCATTTCTCTCAACTAGTGGAACCTAATAGAATTATATTTTATTATCTTTACGGGCTGTTTGGTAAGTGGGATTATGGGATGGGAATGGGATAATAATTCCTAATCTTTATAAACCCATGTTTGGTTGGTGGGAATTATGATATAAAATGGGAATGGGCTTGGGAGTAATTAGCTTGTATTCCCTACATTTTATTACTTGGGAGGGGGGGGGGGATAATATTTTGGGGGAAATTCACTGAATTGTTAAAAAGACAATACTATCCCCTCTTTTATAACATATATTTACACTTTTTTAATTTGCAAAGGGTAATCTTGTAAATTATCCTTTTAATCCCTCTATTATTCCCACATATCAAACATAGGATTTAAAATTTCTCAATCTTATTTCCAAAATATGCCAAACAAAGGATTGAGATTATTTCATGAATTTTCACCTATTAATTCCCACTCCCACTCCCACCCTATATTCCCCAAATTCCCATTCCCATTTGCCAAACGCCCTTTTAGATTCTCTCACCTTCAATTTACCTTCCAGCTAACCCCACTACCTCCATATCTTATTACTTTCTCTAATTTTTCCTAAAATTTCGCGTATGGAGAATTGGAGCAAGTATTAAAAAAAGGAGGGAGTAAGTATATTGTATTTTAAAATAAAGATTAATGTTAAGTAAATCAGAAATAAAGATAAAGTGACGTCGTTAATGGAGAGCAACAACTTTAGTGGCAACTAACAACTTTAAGGGCAAGGTGTTTAACTTCCTCCGCTCAAGAGCTCCATTGAAGCCACTATTGAACTTTTTCTTCTTCAATTTCTTAACGGAATAATTATTTTGACAATGTCAATTATCAAAAGCTGAAACTACCAATTGTTGAACCCTAGATTAATGCAAAAACACACACAAGTAATGCAGTTAAAAAAAAAAAAGTACTATATGCAATGATTTGACCTAAAATATGAGATAAATGTCTAATTAGTGCAAATAATTTGAAATAGAGATAGTAAATGTTGGAAATGTTTTATGAAGACCAAAGTACCCATACATTTTCCGGTTTCCCACTCGTTCTACAATTACTCAGTCATACTCTCCTCAAACACTAGTTCTTTCGTCCCTAACCAAATAAAAATTTTCGTTGTTCAAATGTTCGTTGATCTATCAACTCAAATTTAATGGTATCGCATGCTTCTAACGGTAGCTCGTATTGGGTTTCGGAAAATTCATCGATTTTGTAGGTTAACTTGAAGTCGCCGGAATTATTAGTGAGTATTTTAATCTGTTTTCTGCTTCTCTTTTTTGGCGAGAATTTGAATAAGTTCTGAACTACTGAATCCAGAACTAGTGTTTTCAGTTAAGATTACGAGTTAATTTGAAACGATATTGTCATTGCTTTGTCTTAATTTATGTCAGAGTTGGGATAATTTTCCCTAATTTAGGAAGTTATAACATTTCATGCTTAAATGGAACTTTTCTTGTGCTTCATCGTTTCTTGGTTGTGGCTCGATGAGCCATTATTATGGAGAATTGGATAATTGTGATATAATTACAAAATTATCAGCATGTTAATTTGTTGGGCTTGCATATTTGTGATACAACTAGCATATTATTATCGTCCATTGGAGGATATATGCTATGAATTATGGAGTGGTTGACCACTCTTCTCCAATGCCTTATTGCCAGTTTCAGGAAACGCTGTAAAACTCGTAACACCAATCATGAAACGGAGGAGACCTTTTACTTCTCCTGGTTCTGCTGTTAAGTGCACAGCTCCCTCAACCCCACCAACTCCGCGCAATGTGGACATCACCCAGTTTGCTAAAACCAAAACGAACCTCAACTCGGAAACTTTGTCCCACTCTTCAAATAGACCGTCTAAGAGATCTCTTTCGCAAATTCTCAAAATCCAAAACTTGCCAACCGATAAATGGGTGCCCCTTGATTTGGGGAAATCAGAGCTGTCTTTGCCCCTGACTTTTCCAACTGGACAGACCTTCAGGTGGAAGAAAACAGGGACACTCCAATACACTGGCGTTGTCAAGTCTCATCTGGTGTCCTTAAAGCACCTTGAAAATGGTGATGTCGCTTACCAATTTCACCCGGTTATCTGTTCTAATTCCAGTTCCATTTCCAACTTCACTGAGAAGGAGGATGCTAAGATAGCTTTGCTTGATTTTCTCAATGTGGGTATTCGTCTGGCTGATTTGTGGGAGAGTTTTGCAGCCTTTGATCAGAGGTTTTCTGAGCTAGCACCCCATTTGGCTGGTGCCCGTGTGCTTAGGCAGGATCCTTTGGAGTGCCTCATTCAGTTCTTGTGTTCATCTAATAATAACATTCAAAGGATCACTCGAATGGTTGATTACATTTCTTCTTTAGGTCATTATTTGGGGAGTGTTGAGGGGTTTCAATTTTATCAATTTCCATCATTGGAGCGGTTGGCCATGATCTCTGAAGAGGAGCTAAGGGAGGCTGGCTTTGGTTATAGGTTGGTTTTCCCCTCATTTTGCATCTAGATTAGTTTGTCACTTTCTTTGTCTTTTGTCTTGAATCACTTGCGTTTAATTTTCGTGAAGATTAAATGGCTTGCAAACAGAAAGGAATTCTTCTCTTTTCTTTTATTGTTATAACTTATAAGGTATAACTTCATGTATGCTCAACTAAAATTGATTGGTCAAAATATCATGATTTTTTGTGCTTGGAATGTCATGGTTTTGTATTGTTGGATGTCACTATAAAGGCTGCTTAACCAGTTTGAGATTTTGAGTTGAGATCTTTTGAGCTCCTCCTCTATTGCTGCTACATTGGTGAACAAATTAGTGTAAGTCTTGGTGCTATGATTTTTTTTGACACGAGCTAATTAGCTCCGCACTAAGTTCTATCAATTGTTTGGTTTTTGATTGTTTTTGGTGTGAATGCAATACTAACATGAACTTCTTACGATTTAAGTGGCATTGTGAAGATGAGGTACATGTGATTTATGTTGAAAATAAAAATAATTTAGCTTCTATTGCAATCACAACTCAATAGATACTTTTATTGTGAGGGTTGCCAATACATAATAAAAAAGTTGTTATATCTTGCCTAGAGGTGGGCACGGGCCGGGCCGGCACGGCCGAGGCACGGGCCCGGCACGAGCCCGCCTGAGGCACGGCACGGCACGGCACGGTGGCCCACCGGTGGGCCGTGGGCCGTGCCGTGAACACCGATTTTGGGAAAAGGCACGAGCACGGCGTGTCGGCACGAACACTGGCCCGCTGGCACGGCCCGTCGGCACGACCGGCCCGTGGCACGGCACGGGGCACGGTTAATAATAATAAAATTATTCATCAATTATAAAATAATAATAATAATAATAAAATAAAATTATTGCACCTTATATAAAATAAGCTATAAAGTTAAGTTATTCATCAATTACTATACGATTTTATCATTATAAATTATTGTATTATCGATTTATCGTATCGACTTATAATAAAATTAAATAAATTATTCATCAATTTTTGTGTTATCGTACTCGTAAATTTTTAAATTATGTGCATTGTTACTTTTTGCTAAATAATAATAAATATGTATAATAATAACATAAATAATAAAGAGTAAAACAACTATAATAAATTAATAATAAAAAGCACATAACAATATAATAATACAAAAACATAAACATAAACATAAATTAATAAACTTATTTAAATATACTTATTTTACAAGTTGTTTTAAAAAAAATATATATCAATTAAAAAAAAAGAAAAAAAAAAAAAGTAACTTCGGCACGCTGCCCGGCACGGCACGGCACGACAGGCACGTGGGCCGGGGTGTGCCAAATTGTGGCACGGCACGGGCACGGCCCGCGACTTGGCTGGCACGGCACGAGCCAGCACCGGGCACGGCCAGGCACGGCCCGTGACGGCCCGGCCCGGCACGGTGCCCACCTCTAATCTTGCCTGTGATCTTCTGTGCCTTGGCCATCACCTCCGCTCTGTTTTTATTTTATACTTTTTCAGCCTTTTAGATTATCTTATACAATTCCCAATACGCCTTTATGCATCCTTTTTTTTACTTTTTTTTTTTTTTTTTTTTTTATAAATAATGTGTCCTCTTCTTACCTTTGTCAGAGTGCATAGCTTTTCTTGTCATTGTTTGTAACTTGACTTCCATTGATTTGCATGAAAAGAGCAAAATATATAGTTGGCACAGTAAAAGCCCTGCAATTGAAGCCTGGTGGTGGTGTTGAGTGGCTTTCTTCTTTGCGTGAATTGGACCTTAAAGAAGTCATAAATGAACTCTCCACTTTTCCCGGTGTGGGTCCAAAGGTGGCATCATGTATAGCTCTCTTCTCCCTGGATCAACATCATGCAGTTCCAGTTGACACACATGTCTGGAAGGTAAACAACTGTAAATTCGTCAGTGATTATGGCCTTCTTTTTTACTGACATTGTTGTTGGATAGAAGTTTTGGAGGGCAGGGGAAGGGGAGGAATAGAAGGTTCAATTTCTTTTGTTTGGATAACAATTAGTTAGGCTTAAGTAAAGGGGGGTGAGCTGTTTCTTGTGATGTGTCATGTGTGCTCCCTGATGCTTTTTCTAAGCCAAATACTTCTAGCATCAAATTGCCTACCTAATCGTTAAACGACTTAAACCTTCAATTGAACTTATTTGAAATGGACTATCAGTGTTGGCAGATGATCTTCTCTGAATTCCGACCAATGTATAAAAAGGCTCAAGGGGCAATGAGGCGATAAAGGTCTTGCTGCGCCTTGGCCGCTCCTCGGTTTGCCTCTTTGAAGTGAGGCGCACAACATTAAATAATTAAAGAAATTTGCCTATATGTGCCTCAAGTGTGTTTTAGGTGCGCCTCAAGTGCGCCTTAGGTGCATCGGTAGGATAGAAATATTGTATCCTTTGATACATAAAATCAAAAAGTTTTGGTCTAATTTCCCAAGTAGCTGTGGAAGTTGTCATTGGTTGAAAATTTGATGTTTTTAAAATTTTCAATCTTCCAACGTTCAGATAAATAAGAATAGTTCATAATGAGACTTGTGAAAGGTTGTTAACTTGCTACCCTTTTATTTTCCTTCCAAATCTTCTGTCGAATTCAAATCCTTCTAAACCAACATCTTCCATTCACGTAATTTTTCCTTCCTTTCCTTCTCCTTCTCTCTCACTTCTTCCCCTCCTTTTCCTTCCCAAATACTAAAACTTCATTGTAAAGTTGAAGACTATTCTATAAGCGTTAGGCTATGATGATCATTTGCTTCTTATGTGGCTCTTTTCTCTTAGGCTTATTATTGTTAAACTAAACTTATTTTTGCTACTTAATTTTTTTTAACAATAATTAATTATGCTAAACTTTACTTATTATCGCTAAAACTTATTTCAATAAGTGGAGAACTGAGCCCAAATTGTGAAGTAGTCTAGTAGTCATCACCTTTTTTAGTATAGTGGAAAGAGCCTCTTTGCATCCGTACTTTCTACTTCTGTGCATTTGACTTCCCGCTTTTTAGAATATAATGGATTCACCATCTTCAACTTATTCTATGTTGCACACTCTTGCTCTTGTTGGCATTGTGATTTCAGGAGTTAATAACCACACGTTAAAATAAAATAAAAAAAATATGAGAGGGACGTTTATGTTGTAATACATTCAGAATTATTAGAAATGTGATTGAAAACAAGAGTTGCATACTGAGGCAACTTCTGGTGGTCAGGAAGTGGTGGAGAAATTTAGAAAAAGTAAATAAAAAAAAAAACTGGAGAGAGTGAGAAAATGGGTGGTGGCCTGGCGGGCAAGGAGTAAGTAATTGAGTTGAGTATGAGAATGGTCAGTTAGTAAACTCATACTAGTAAAAGAATTTGCAACCTACTCATACGGTCCAGAAACAATCAGACCGGACAGTTACTGGAACCGGAATATGGCTTTTTAGGACCAGGGACCGGACCTAAAAATTCCGGTCAGTATGGTATTGGATCTGTGACAGGCTAAAGTCGTATCACCTAATCAAAAATAATTCCTAAAACCACTACCTAATATAGATAAGGAAGTAGGGTCAAATCCACAGAGAAACAGGTCTTTCTATTTTTAATTAATTAATATAATCTAAATTATCAAGTAACCAAATTGTTTTGTGAGAATTAAACTAAGCGAATTAAATAAGGGAGGAAATCAATAATAAAAGGCTATATTAAATAAGGGAGGAAATCAACAATCAATCATCAATGCATAAATTAATTAGATCATAAAGGGCTTTCGCTACGTATTACAATCACAAAATTAATCTATCGGTATTAAATCGCATCTCTCGAATCTTGACTTAACCATTTATAAATTAACCTGCCTATTGAAACTAAGCCTAAACATCTCGAATTAATATTGCATAACTCATACAATTAAACCTGGCCAAATCTAATTGCATAGCATTATAACAATCAATAGGAATTTAATCAAGCATTAACAATCAACAATAATAATTTACCTCTTCATATTATTTATGAATCCTCACAACCCTAGAAATAAAATTACTAACACATAATTAAATCTAAGCTAAGCAAAACAATTAAACAAGTCATAATTAATTAAAGCAATTAAATTACTTAAAATAAGAAGGAAAAGAAATTGTTACCATATTAAACGGAAAGGATGAATTGCATAAATCAAAAGTATGGAGAGAAAACAAGTGTTAATCGAAGCTTAAAACTAAATCTGGAATTTTGTTAATGAGAAAAAGCGTAATGAAAAACGTAATCCACTCTCTAAAGATAAAACGAATTTATACTAAAGCCTAAAAATCCTAATTAAAGAAAGACTAAAATCGCTGAAACTCTTAATAAATACACGTGCCCGGTCAAGCGCGCCTTTTTCTTCTCTAAGTCTTCGCTCGCGCCCGGTCGGGAGCGAGACAGGGCGAAGGATGCTCTCTCCCATATACTTCGCCCGGTCGGGCGCGCCTCAAGGCGAGGGCTTACCCTTACCCGGTCGGGCGAGCTCTCGGCAAGGCCTTCTTCACTTGGGATCCTCAATTGGGCTATTTTCTTGGCCCAAACGAATTTCCTCTTGAGTCTTGAAACACGGTCCGTTGCCTCGAACTCTTTTTCTTCATCGAGCCCTTAACCACCAGTTTAATTGCTCTAACACGGCCTTGGGCTTCGGAATGTGGTCATAATAATGCGTTCCTACTCTAATGCTCGTAATGGCTCAAATAAGTCCGGGGAAATGCTCCAAATCCGCAATTTCCTATAAAACAATACCGCAAGTACGGAAACACTAGAAAACGCATATTAGTAATAAAAGTGGCTCTAAAGAGCCGAAAATACTCCTAACTATGACCAAGGGGCGGGGATAAAACACTATATAAAATGAACATATCAATCTGTTGGACCTTTTTGCTTTTTCCCCCCCTAAAGAAAACCCCTAATTCTTTGAAAATAACATCTGGTTTCAGTCTTATCACGCACATTCCTAGTTTCCTACCTACTCACATGATCTCTTATCCTCACCATATAATTTTTTTTTTCTCTCCGTCCCAATTTTATCATCACATCTATGTAACATCTTACATAATTATTAATGTTGTATATTGTTCAAAGTTTGACTATGTAATCAAAACAGTCCCTTTAGGATGAACCAATAAAAGGGTCTATAGAGTCGTGAAGGTCTGCAAGGCTTAAGCTTACAGACAATAACTAAAAAAGCAGAATAAATAGGTATGTAGTCATGAGAGGTACTGGATTGGTGATAACACGGTGTTGTTGAAACTATTCAGGCATGTAAAGCAGCATGTGCTTTTGACTACTATACCTTACCAAATGAATGCAAGTAGAACAAAAGAAGGATTGGACTAAGTGGGATAGTTGAAATGCTGAAAGGTAAAGTACCAGATCATATGTGATGTTGCATCATAGGTGAGGGCCTTCGGGGCTCCTTGTTGACTAGAACTTTCATTCTCATGTCTAAAGCAGCATGAGGGTGGCTAGTCTGCGTCAATTAGCTTCAAATAGGAGCGAGTGTTTGGAAGCTGAAGGGGCCTTTGATGTTGATAGCTGAGTTTTCTTTCCTTAGTATTTTTTAAATATGGTCTACGTTTATCAATTTTCAGTTGGTTGTCACAACCATGGTGTGAACTCTAATGTTTGATGGATATGTAGCGTATGTAGTGGCATATATACATTATTCTAGTTAGATAGTTATATGATAGCTCAACCTGAAGGATATGCTCTGCTTATAGTGCTTAGGGTCCAGCCTATACATTCATAAACCAGTTGTGAACAAGGTCTACGTTCAAAATATAAATTATTATTGCATTTGTCATGAAGGTTGCTGACATAACAATCTTCGTTTCCTGCTGAGAGGTTGCTTTTTCCATCCAGTTGTATCTTTTGCAGATTAATTCATCTTTCATGACTTATACCTTTAATGGTTGGCGTAGAGTTAACATCTGGCATGGTGACTGGATCCTTATAAACCAAGACCCCACCCCCAAGTGTTTCTCTTTGTTGTTTTGGATCTTTGGGGTAGAATATCTTTGCACCTGAGGAGTTTGATTGCTTGCTCTGCACAAACCAAACACTGTTGGTTAATTAAAGGAAAAGGATTTATGATTAATTTTGAATTCAGTTTACTATTACATCAATTAGAAGCTCCAATATATACACAGGTGTACCTAGCTCTATGTACTCAATAATATTTTCTGCTCCTTTGCTCTTAGAACTCTCTCACTCAGTTTATTTGCTCATTTCAAGAGCTCCAAAATCCAAATAAGGGAATGTGCACATAAATAGTATTGGGTAGTTGGGGGGCACCTGAATATTGCAGAAGTTGCATGCATCAATCAAGGGATGTTTGCTATCCTTGGCTCAATTGCTTGTATTTTCTTGATTTTTTCTCTTGTTAAAGTCATTGTTTTGATTTGTTGAGCTTCTATCGGCGACGGTTGTTTGGGCAGGTTGCTACGAGGTACTTTATGCCTGAGCTTGCAGGTGTCCGTATGACACCAAAGCTGTGCAGTAGTGTGGCTGAAGCATTTGTTACTAGGTATGGGAAATATGCTGGCTGGGCTCAAACCCTACTTTTTGTCTCTGAGTTGCCCTCTCAAAAAGCTATCATACCATCAGAAGTTTGCTATATGAAAGAGAAGAATCTGTTGGACAAAAAAGTTATTTTGTGAAAATGAAGACGTGTGTGTAGCCAAGTTGTGATAATGAAGATTGGAGACGTAGAGAACAAATGATACTTTTCATTCTGATCCATGGGCTGGTCTCTTGCTGGGTCTCGTCTTGCTGCTAAAGGTACTTCTCTAGTTCTCTGGACTTTGTTGCCCCCATGGTCAACTTCAAAAGGAGGATTTGGAGGCTATGTTCAGCAAGTGGGTTACATCAGGTAATGTATATTGTTGGTGAGATTCCTACGATTGCTATAAGACGTTTCATTGCTAGCAATTGGAATCATGTAGTTCAACCTGAAATATTCTTGCATGATGAATGAGCGATTAAAATGAAACTTTCTGAATCATTCTTTACACCAAGACATCAGACTTCTCCACCAGTGAGAGGCTTTTCTGGAAATTATGTCTCTGTTTGAATTACGCTTATAAATTTTGGTTATGATTCTGTAAATCGCCAACAATGAGTTTCCATAGGTCTCATTCATCTCATCTTAGTTTGCACTTGTACTTCTCCTTCTTTATTTATGTATTTATTTGAATTTTAATGAATACTCTCTACATTCCTTTTAACTTCATTCCATTTCTTTTTGACATGTTTGTCAGGGCACATTTAAATCTTTACTGCCTCTAATTACATCTCAATAAAAATCATAAAAGTTTGATATTTAAAATATTACTCATCAAAACAAATCAAACAAGAACTCCACTTGACTCGTAAAAGATTTAGGGTGTTTTTTTCACGAAAGTTTCTTATGTTTTCATGATACAAAGCCATGTCTTCTCATAGTTCTAGAAACACACAACTTGATGTTCCCTCAAAATTGAAGTCTTTAAACAAAATTCCAAATTCGTGATTCCATAAGTTTAAGGTTGTAGAAGATTTTAAGGTGATTCTTTCACGAAAGTTTCTTATATTTTCATGATATAAAGCCCCATGTTTTTAGAATTTGAAAGCCTAGAATGGATTTTTCCATTAGAATTGAGGTCCTAAATCGAAATCTCAACTTTGCAACCCCGTTTGATGATGTATCATTTAGTAAGTTAATGATTGATACTCAAGCATCACATACATTAGCTATCCAAACAAAAGAACGTAAAATCAATATTTGATGAATTGTTTTGCAAACGGTAGAATTACATGATTCATATTTTAAAACATGGAGGCACCATATCTTAGAAACCTTGGGGGTACATTTTTTTTTTGAAATTACCTTGGGGGTAAATGACTACATATAGGGATGTTAATGAGCGGGTAAGTAGTTTGAAATTTTCAATATTTTAATAGATCAAATACAAACAAAGCTCGGCTCGAAAAGTTAGGAACAAACACACTTTTTACTTTAGAGTCATAGTGCGTTAACTAGGGGTGCTTATGAGACGAGACAACTCGTAGGCTACTCGAGCTCGACTCGGTCAAAACTTGACTCGAGTGAACTCAACTCGAGCTCGAAATTGACTCGAAATATTAATGAGTCGAGTCGAGTTGCTCAATACTCGACTCAAAAACTCGTGAAAAACTCGAATTCTTTTATACATTATTATATTAAAAAAAAAAATTGATTCAAAAACTTTATTTTGCAATAATAATGAATAAATATAACATTTACGTACTCATATCATCACATATACTTCGTATATTTCTTATAATACAAAATTAAAGAGAAGGAACAAATGTTACACTATATAAGGATTCTGCTAAGATCAAATCAATTAACAAGCTACTCGAAATTGACTTGGTCAAACCTCAATTCGGTCAAAGCTCGGTCAAAACTCGAGTGGAGATATTCCAAACTCGAACTTGAACTCGACTCAGCATTAGAAACACCCCTATCGTTAGCTTACATAAATATTCTTTTAATTAGCTTAGCAAAAGAAAAAAAAAAACCGTACATAACATGGATTTAAAATCTAGTTTTGGAAAGATAAAGAAATTACACATTGATATTTGATATACTAGACCAACTGGACGAAATCACAAAATTACTCACACAATCACACTTTACTCACTCTAATTTAATAATTAAAAAGAAAAAGTAACAAACCATAAAATCAACACTTCTAATGACCATCATCTCCATTCTCGTTATTGCCTTGGCCACCATTACCCAATCCTAAGTTCAAAAGATTCACTCTCGTGTGAGCAGACAAAGATGTAGTAAGGACTATTGGCAGTGTTGTGAACTGTAATTGTCCCCTTTCTTAGCCATCGTGAAACAACGATTTGTTGGACTAATGGTGCATTTGGACCGAAGAATTTTCCGACAACAGTTGAGTTCCAATCGATGTTTTCCATTACTAGAGTGAGCAAGTGATTATAGAGGTAGTGAGTTGAGTAAATGAATTGTAGCAAGCATGTTTTCAGGTGACAAATGTCTTTGGAAACAAGGGTCTTGGGAACTGGTGCGACAATTGTCTTTGAAACAAATGATCATAGCTGCATAGGTGAACCTCGACCCCAGTCCCCAAACAGAGAAATGACATAGTTAATTAAGGGATGGAGTGAGTAGTAAGTAAATGGAAAAAAAAAAAAAATACAACCTTCGTTTTTTTTAGTTGACCCGTTTTAACTTTAGCACTATTCATACAGTTTTCTTTAATATTGTTTTATGATTTATACACAATGAAAAATATAGTCATGTGAAATCTTATTAGATTCGTCACGATGTATATTTTCAAAATATCAACTTTTTATAAATTTTAGTCATCGGTAATTAATATTAATAATTGAATTTGTGCATTGACAAACGTGACTAAAAAGACATATCAACTAAAATGAAATCTGGTCAAATTCATCTTGATAATTTAATATAAATATCAAATCTATTGTTTTCATAGATTTGAAAATCAAACACATTAATGTTCAAAGTATACGTTGGGAAGCATAATACTCTCCAATTTTCAATGATGCAATATTTGTGGAATTGTGGGATGATGTTTTTTTCTTTCCTGATTCCCAGTACTCCGTGGTATGGTATGACACTGTTTGGGGTTGAAAATCCGTACAACCGTATCAAACAAGACGTCTATATTACATTATTATCAGCATTTCTGTATCAAAACTATAGTAGCAACAAGGAAGACTAGAATTTCTGTGGGTAAATATTGTTTTCTTTCATTTAATTGAGAAATCTTACAAAATTGACAATAATTTGGTAACCACTCAATCATTATGTTAATAATTATAATGTGCGCAAATGAAAATTATAAAAGGTGAAAAAAAGAGTAATTAATGGCTTAAATTTGCTTTTCACCCGGACTTTCTGCTCAAATAATGATCTCCAACACTCAAGAATACATGCTGACCCAGCAATACGTCCACTGGTGGTTGATCTTTGATGCAATCGACCCTAATCTGAAAATAATATTAAGATCGGAAAAAATCAGAGCAAAGCAAGCCAATTTCCTCAAAAATAAGAGAAAGATATAAGTTACAGCAAAATACAGGGACATTGTAAATAAAAATACCTTGCCATTTCCGGCATTAAATTCAGACTTCAGCTTGTTAGAATCTCTTGATCTAAGGTAAACCTGTAAACCATGTGCGAAGGTTGTGTTTCCTGTAATTGCAAAATGTGTTGTGAGCTTCAAACCTAAACAAATAGCTAAGCTACAGTTTTCATGGGATCTAAGAGCTCAAACCTTCATATAAGCTGAGTAGAGCTTCATCATTGAACACTAATGTTGGCCTTGACAATCTAATAGTGAACGACATGTCGTATACACCGTGAAAAGTTTCTTCAGTGAGAATAACCTGTAATTGTACAGACCAAGTAACAAATGCTCAAATAAATCAGATAAAAACTGCAACATACATCTTACATAGATTGCAGGCTACAGGCATATAGGACTTAATCAATCAAAAAAATTCATCTCTTGACAAGGTTTAACAAATTCAACTCAAGCGCATAAAACTCTGCACAGGTGAAAGTGTTGCATTTGAAAAAAACGAATGAAGTATATAAAGTTGAACTCAGAGTAACACAACAATCAATTAGAAGAAAAGGTAAGATACTACAATATGCATACAAGAAAAGCTGATCACTAAGCAAAAAACAATAAACAGAAATACGTACTGTATAAGATGGCATGAATTCTGCAAGCAGTAACGGGGAGCCAATAGCCTCCCTTATGTATTGTTCCTGCACAACAAAGAATATACTCATTAGAGGATTTTCACAGTATCAAATAATAGGAAATCAGTAATTGAAAATAGTCGAAAACTAATAAAAAATTTCAAACCCACGACTGAATGAAAAACATCAAAGACAATCCATAGATTGGCATATGGATCTCATTACCTGTGAAGCCAGAAACTGCTTCAAGGTTGGTGCATCCTTGTCTGATGGACTTAAGTACACTTCCACAACATCGGTAGGTTCAAGACTTGCCTTTTTCCGCAACTTTTGGATGCGATTTACAACCTAAGATTTTGGGAATGTAATAATTGATGAGGATGATATAATTTTATTGCAGCTTTAGTTTCACTTTTTATAGACTCCTGTCAATTGAACCTCAACTCTAAATAGAACTAATCTTCAAGGAAATAGCGTACTTATAATGTGAACGCTGACAAAACATTTAACAGGATCTTGTAAATTTTATTAATACATGGCATATTCTGTAAATGAAACCTCGGCACAACAAGACCACTTTCAATTCCTTTTGTATTAGCAGAAGAATGGTATAATAACGAAGCAGATAGAGAAGATACAAGTCAATGTTTCATTCACTAAAAACACAAAAATTAAGAATTATCACTAACAAACCTCACGAGCTACTCCAGCCTCAAACAATGATTCGTCAGGATGTAAGTCAAGAATGACCAAGACATCACCTACACAGGATGTTGAAGCTATCAGATGGGTTAACAACAAACAAACAAGTCTACCTTAGAATTAATTTTACAATTATTATTACCATCTCCAGCAGCATCAACTTCCTTTTCTGTTGTATTATCAGGACGTTTGAAATCCCTCAATACCTGAAAGTTCACGTAACAGTAGTACATTTTAATAATTTAATGACTTCTGTAAAGCAAAGTAAATTCTAGGGGTACAAATGAGCAGATGTGAGTACATACTTGATAAGACTGTTCAAATTTTCTTTTGGGTTTTGAATTAGAAAAAAGATCTACGTAATAAAAAACTTTATCCTCACTGAGTTCAGAATTTTAGTTAATTTCTGCCAGATTAGACAACACTTCTGTGTTATTGTTTGGACTGTGTATCCTCTGACTTGATATTAATTTGCTTGACACAGTCATATAAGAGTTCAGGCAAATTATATACTCCTAATTTTGATCTTCATGTCAAATGAAAACAGGAAGCTTCCAACATTCCTAGGTCAAGCTAACCATTTCATGTTTTATCACAGAAAATAAGCAAAAAAAATAACAATTGATTATCCAACATTTTCATTTTTAAAAAAAAAGAAGAAAAAAAAAATTATAGCAAACTCTTAAACTTAACGTCACATTAAACTTTAGCACAGAAATGAACCTTAATGTCACCCAGCTTCAAACAGTGGCCTGCAATGGTTACTTCTCCAGCTTCCTCAAATGCTAATATATCTTTCTGGGACATTGCCTTGACTTCCTTTGCAACCACTCCCATTGATTTGCCAAGCCTCTTCCCAAGCACACTAAGAGAACAGATGCACGTCATAAGTAAAACCAGATAAAGTTTAGCAAATAAAAAAGCACTTCAACTCCTCCCCCTCAACGGAGAGAGAGAGAGAGAGTTGTCTAGCATACATACCTAAAATCAGGCTCAGCACGAAGAGAAGCATATCTCAACGGATCATCACAGGGAACCAGAGATCTTATGTTAAGCTCTTCCAGAACATACTACAATTCACAGACCAGTAAACAAAACAAACAGTTAGATGAGAAAATTTTCTTGTGATAGAAGGTTAACAATTGAGAAAGATATAAAGACAACAGAACACAGTTCTCCAAAGAGCACAGAAAATGTTTTTACAAAAATCACAGAAAATTTTGAATCCTTCTCTATTGCTTTTAGGATTTCAAGGGGCAGGGCAGTTTGAACGAAAGAGGTTAAATTCATCGACTGATGGAAATCTTTCCTGTTAAGGTCCCGCTCCCGTACACATGACACAACTGAATTAAATCTAAGCAATGGACACAATACACCTTTGAAATACATGTACCTCTTTTAGTTTCCCGGCAATATCATCAAGAAAATCTTTGTCAGGATGCACCACCACCATCTCCCTGTACTCTCCAATAACAAACAAGTCTCATGAGCAAGTAGAAACATGTAATAAAATAAAACAGCATAAAAGTTACAAATACTACCTGAGGGGTGTCTTTAAGGGCTTGTTGTGGCGCTCACGGATATTACGTGCAAGATCAATGATTTTCGTCATCCTTGAAACACTTTGTACAATGCGCTCTTCTCCCTAGAATTGAAATATTAAATTACGGAGAGATTGAGTCAAGATACCTTTTACAAAATTAAAATTAACTGGAAAAAAACCCCAGTTTTTTTTTTTTTTTTTCTTCAAGTTCATGCCAAAGAGACTACCTTTCCTTCGTCTTCAGGGATACTGCAATAATGAATGCTCTCTTCAGCCCCATCACGAACCTTTCTCAAATTTTGGTAAAGAACTTCGGTAAAGAATGGTGTCAGTGGAGCCATAGCTATACATGAAGTTAGCAGTACCTATGACCAAAAAGTCAGATAATAAGTGAAAAATGATTCAAGAGCATTATCTAACAGATTGCTGCAATGAGCTATAATGGCAGATCTTCCCATGCGTAAAGAAAGGTCATTGACTTCCAGACCACTCAGCATATTAACTTTGAGACGGAAGATCTTCAAAAAGACTCATTTAAACCACCAATAGACTCTTACCTTCAGACCAAGAGGTTAAGAGTTTAATTTACTCATAGCCAACCACCTATTGGGCAAACGGAGGCCTGAGCTATAGGGCCTAATACCTTTAAATAATTTTAAAAGAAACCAGGATAGTTTACTGATACTGACCCACGGAAACACATTACACAATACATTGTATAACCTCTTCACAGTAGAAACCCTTGCCAACCAAATCCATCAGAAAAAAAAAATACATATGTCACTAGTAAAAAAGAGGTTTGACAGTTTCTAATGCATGAGTGCACAGTTGCATCAAACATGGAATATGGATCCATGTAATAATCCAACATTATCAATGTGAACGTATGAGATGCCTGGAAAGCAAATAATCAACATATATGATCCTCAAATCTTTTATGAAGATTACGTTATAGCTAACTACCATGCAATGGCCTAGACAAGGGAATTTATGATACAAGGCTACACTAGTTCATGCAAGGCACTAAGGCTATGGTAAATAAAATGCCGATATTGAGATCCGTTACTATACAAAATGATTTAATCCTATATCAACTCTTAAAAGAATACTCTACAATTCCCTCTGTTTCAATATATAAGGAACCCGTGATTCACTAAGTTGTTATTATCTCTTGATTACTATTAGCACGTGTTAATAAAAAACAAAAGAAAAAAATACAAAGTATATATAACCTATTTAAAATGATCTAATGGTATAGTTTCTATTTTTTATCTACATAATTTACTAAATATTTGCAGTCAAAGTAAAATATCGAAAATGTGAGACTTGTGAATTGAGGACTAGAGGTAGTGTAGCCTGTTAACTGATACAAATAGATGGACATAAGAGAAAGAAAGTAAAACCTTATCATGCTTGAACCAAGATCACTCTTCTAAGAACATAAGATTTTATTGTAGGTCAATATATATAAGCTAGCCTACAATGAAGGATCGATAATCAGTACTCGGGTGAAGAAAAGTAACATACATGGTAAAGAGTGGACAGTGCAATTTTGCAATCTTCCTCTCCTGTGCGACCTTTTAGCCGCTTACGGTTAAACCTTACATAAATATTTGTCAGATCATCAAGAAATTTTAGTAGTTGAGGAACCACCTGCAAAGGACATAAAGAAGTCAAAAACAATGTCAAGCAATCCATATGAGTAGTTGGTCTAAAGAAAAAAAATTCAAATTATCAGCACACTGCATGGGATACAACTCATACAAACCAGGACCTCATAGACCCCTGGTTTAAAAGAATTGTTTGCAAAACAATATTAACTTAACAAAGATAGAATCCTCTAGCAACCTGGTCAGAAGAAAAATGAGACAACCATACTTTACAGAAGTCAGTGAAAACCTAGATACAGACCTTACAAAGTAACACCAAAAGAAACCAGAAAGACATGAATAGAAGAGAGCAATATATATTTTTTGTAGCAAAATTCTATCTTTTTACACCAAGTTCCAATTATATTTAGAATAAAGGATGTATGCGAACTTGTCTCTAGAATGGCAAAAGAAGCTACTTCCATTAAAAATGTTTAGCGAAACATGTAGATCGGTATGCTACATAAGATGGGCAATGCAAAGGTAGATAATGTTAAAAAAAAAATCGTTTTTCCCATCAAAGTGCATAGCAATTAAAGGGCCCAGACACAACTTTAAAAGCTGTGTGTTATAAAAAAGAAAAAAAAGAAAAAGGGATATACCCTAACCTGTAGAAAGATTGGTGCCTTATCAAAGGTATAATCATTCATAAGGCACTCACATGTATAAGAATGAAATTTCATTTGATTAGTAATTAGTTACAAACCGTATACAATCGATAAGCCTCCATTTCTTGTCGGACAAAATGAACCAGGTGTTGGGTCGCCGAATTGATCCACTGGTCAAGGACATTGGAGGAATTCTTTAGCACACTTCGATCAGTTGGAATAAAAGTTCCAAAACCTTCAATTTCAAGTCTCTTTGCATTCTGAACAAGAAATCTGTATGCATTGTACCATGGGAGGAAGACATCTCTGATCTGCACATCAATCAAACAGACAATGATAAAGCATAATGAAATATTAGCATAAATCAAGAGAAACAAGAACTCTAAGGGATGACACTCTCAAAACAAATAACTAAGAATATAGAGTAATAGCCCTTACCATACCAAACACACCATCTTTTTTAAACCGTAAAGGTTCTGCACGTACAACTGGCGAATTTACAATATACAACCGCAACGCATCCTGAATAAAATGTACACCATGTCAAGACTTAAAATCACCTTGTCAAATCTTAAAATTTCCATACGGAAAGCTGCAGCAAAAGACTGAACAAATGGAAAAAAAGGAAAATTATAGAACACTTACAGCTCCATACTCATTAAGAATTTCTGATGGTGCAGGGTAGTTCTTGAGTCTCTTACTCATCTTCTTCCCGTCTTCGGCAAGGACAAGCCCATTGCAGATAAGATTTTGGAAAGCGGGCTTACCAAATAATGCAGTGGAGAGAACCATCAATGTGTAAAACCTACAAATGGATGTGAATAAATAAAAAACACTAGCAACTATACACCACATACACATCTTTTGCATTGTCTTGTCCATGATATAAGGACAAAAAGAGCAACAATAAAAAAGGTAACACTAGACCACTATGAAAACTTAGATTTTCTACTGATTATTATAAATCACCAAGGGTGAAATTCATCAACATTAAATCCAATGCTTCTATATTGTCTTTAATACATAGACCTAAAAGCAACTAGGACAGCATAAGGAGTGTTGATTATAGAGAGGAAGATACTAACCATCCACGAGTTTGATCCAGACCTTCAGCCACAAAATGTCCAGGGAAATTTTTTTCAAATAGCTCACGGTTTTCAAATGGATAGTGAATGTATGCATAAGGCATAGCACCACTCTCAAACCAGCAATCAAAAACCTGCAAAATAATAATGTTAAAACATACTACAACTTTTTACTCATTTTACCCATACATAACCTTTTTCCATACAATAAATGGAGGAATAAAAGATAATGTAAGCTCTGCAAAGAAAATTTGCACAATTTCCCTTTGAATCAAAGGATATTAACATGTTTACAAAAATTCAGACGAATTAGTTCTACTATAATTTGTCAGACTACTGCAACTAAGCGCAATGATGCCATTACCTTCCAATGCAAACATGTTACTCATGAATTGTGAACAGCACAGTTTAGCTGACAACTTTAAATAGCATATGTAGCTTTCTTGGCTGCTCTCTATTCACAATAATAAAATTTACTCTTATCTACCCGTCAAAAAAAAAAAAAAAAAATCTCTTATCTAATAAAACTTCTATATCAAAAAAAATTAAAACAGTTGTGTTTGTATTTCCTTTTTTGGAACTTCAAAAGATTTAAGTTTTACATAAGATCTCTATATGCAAGTCCATTACACAAACCCCTAGAACTGATACGTCAAAAGTTAGGCATGATGCCCGAGATTATAATTTAGAACTTCAAGAAAATGGTAGCCAACGGTCTAACAATCACACCCCCTTCATAATTAATTCCACCTCCACGTATAACATCAATTATACTCTCTTCGTCCCATAATATAGTTCCTGTTTTCCTATTTTGGGGATCCAAAATGTTGTTCCAGTTTATATTTTTGGGCAGTCTATAAAGACCATTATACCCTCACTTTTTTTTTACTTTATTCATTGTACTTCCTAAATTACCCTTGAATTTTGCACATGCCTTGTACTTTTTCCACTTTCTCAATATAACTTTTGTCTATAATTGTACTTTTCACTTTTATTAATGTACATCATCCACTTGTTCCACCTATTTCTTAACTATTTTGTGGGACAGAGGGAGTAAATAAAATTGCTGATTAAAATGTCTTACATCATCCACACGCTGGAGGACGCCTTTTCCATCCTGGGATGGAATAGTAATGTGATCAATGAAGTGCCGATGCAAATCAGTAACCTGTAGAAGATATACCAGTTAGTAAAGCACCACTATAGAAATGTATTCAATTCAACCAACAAAAAGTAAGGACATAGGGAATGAGAAAAACACAAGCTTTATATTCCAACCATAATATTTACCAGACATAAGACATATCACATGGTGCAAACGGCAAATTTTCAATTAACCAAACCTTCATTCCCTCCATATCACATGAGAATCAAAATTTTCCTCCCCTCCTTCAGTCATTGCTTTCACAGGAAATTTGCCTACTACTAACTCATTTCCCTCTATAACTTCCCCTAACCAATTTTGCTTGCATGGTATGCCACGTAAAAGCAACCTTTAATATTCTTGACTAGTAATGCTAAACACAACAATAATCTGTAACAGATCATTAAGATTGAAATGCCATATATCCTAAATGAATTTTCTTGAAAAAGAGAAGAGGGGCCATTTATACAAGTAGCAAGTATTCAGAAGATGAATCAAAAATGCTAAGCCAGCAATAATCAGTTGCCTTGTCCACTAAACATTCACAAAACGGAAAACATAGGAATCAACACAGAACCCACCATTAACATTAAACAAAAAAAAAAAAAAACAAAAAAAAACCGGCCTCATCATAACCAATAACACAAAATAACTTGGACTTTAATAACAGTTTGGAAAAATTCATGGGAATTATCCCACCTTTGGGACGTTCTTTTTAAATAATCCCACCTTTGGGATATTTTTAAATAATCCCACCATTACCCCCCAATCTTTTTTAATAGTCCCATTTTACATGGAATTGGTTGAGTAGGTAATTTTATTTTTTTTGGTTTAAAGTACACGTGTCACAACATAATAAGTCAAAAAATAACTTTTAATTTTAATTTTTTTGAGAAAAGATTATTACTAATTAATTTTAATTAACTAATTTAAAACTAACTTTTCTAAAAATAATTAAAATTAAAATCTATTGTGTTTTCAAAAAAAAATTAAAAAAATTGCCCAACCACTAGCCCCGACCACCTCTCCGCCCCACCATCGTCCCAGTCCCACCACGCCCAGAGCGGTCACCACCCCAACCCCAACCCCTTCCATCGCCTTTTAACCACCAAACCCATTACCGAAAATCCGAAATCAAGGCATGGAAATGAGAGGAGGACTGAAATCGCGGCGTGTGAAGGGGAGAGGGGCCAAATTCAGGGCTAGGGTAAGGGGAGGTGGCCGGAAAAGGGACGGGTAGGGAGGGAGCAAGAAACGTGGCGGAGAAGGGGAGGGAGGTCGCGATCAGGATGGCCGGACAGGGAAGAGTTTTTCGAGTGTAGTTGGTGGTTCAAGGGGAGGGGGAAAGGGACGTTTCAAGGGGTAAGACAGTCGGCGCGGCGCTTTGGGCGCTGGTGGGCAGACAGCGTGGAGGGCTGGTGGGAGTGAGCAACCATGGAGGGTGGTTGGGCTGGTGGGGGTATTTTTTTTTTTTTTTTTTAAATGAACCAAGTGGTTTTTTAATTAATTAAGTATAATTTTTTTTATTTTTTTCTTTTATTTTTAGACCAATCAACTGCCGACACGTGTCATGTAACTTGCTATAACAAGTTAAATGACCGGTTGAGACCATTTAAAGCAGATTGAGTATAAAGGTGGGATTATTTAAAAAAGAACACCCCAAAGGTGGGATTATTCCCACGATTTTTTCCTAACTGTTTTAGTCAGAGCAAAAACCTCATGTTATAAATTACAAATTCACTATAAAATAAAAAGGAGGGGTTCTTCTTTTCCTGAGTTCTTCAAAAAAGTAGTCCCAAATCATCAAGTTTTTATATCAGATTATGACTATAAAAACATGAAACTGCATGATAGCTAAGAAAACTTATTAAGTATACATTGGATATAAAAATTATCAATAAAAATGCAAAGTATCAGCTTAGCCTTAAGTAGTAAAGAATATGACAAACCTTTTCCCCTGATTCTCTTTCAAGTTCTTCAACAGAAGAAATGACTCTCATTTCTTTTCCATCCTCACTCATCCAGATAGGAAGCGGTGTCCCCCAAAATCTGCTTCTACTCACGGCCCAATCTCTAGCATTTTCAAGCCAATTGTGGAAACGTTTCTCCTAAAATTATGAAAATAAAAACTTGAATGTTAAAACACGGCAAAAAGAAAAATGAAGACAAAATTACAACATATGATGATATAAATGAAATAGAACCTTGACAAAATCAGGAACCCAATAAGTCTTTTTATTGTTCTCAAGCAATTGGTCTTTGATACTTTCCACTCTAATAAACCTACAGATAATTAGCAAAAGATCAGTTAGTAAGAAAAATGTCTTAACATGCCCTTGCATAAAAAAATAAACATATTCAGCTATATGACACATAATGATAGCTAAATACTTCATTAAAAATATCTTGATTGCCCAAGATAATCCTCAATACAGAATGTAAAATTGTAGCAAAATGTCAGGATAGTAATCAATTTTCACAAATAAAAATTAGACAATCAATTCTCTACATAAAGTCAAAAGCAGTTGCACAGAAAGCCCAATGTACATACCAGCTGGGAACAGCTCTATAAATAAGAGGAGTTTCAGATCTCCAACAGAAGGGATACGAGTGAGTAAAACTTCCTTGTTTGAGAAGCCTGCCTCGTTGCTGCATAACAAAAAGAAATAGCATGAGAATTTCAAACTTGCATCTGTACAGACAAGCCAATTACAGAAATAAAATAACAAGCACCAGGAGTAGCGGTACTTCACCACATGGGAGTGACAATACAAATTAACTATTTTAATATGCTGCTTCAGTTTTCCCCATAAGATCAAGAATGCTGGTAAGCCAAGGTCAATCCAAGCTACAAAATACTTTCTTCCTTTAAAAAACTTTTCTTTTATTACAGGGAGAGAAAAGGGAATGAGAAAGATCAAATATCCTTGCCTTTACTGCATTAATAATTTCCTTATCAGCATCCTTGACATAGAGTCCTTTAAATTCAGAAACCTTTTCGATGAAGCGCCCATCTTCATCAACAGCTACAATCAAGTCTGGCCCCTGAACATGCCAAGTGAAAAAGTCAGTGCCAGACAACTAATGTAGTGATTTCCAATTTAAAAAAAAAAAAAAAGGCTTGTAGCTAACCAGTTCAATTATTTTGTTTTCAAGGCAAACACGATAATCATCTTCTCCAAATGCTGGAGCACAATGTACAATTCCAGTTCCACTATCATCAGTCACATAGTTGTCTGCCACAACCTTGAAAGCCACCTCAGAAAACTCATTGAAATAGTCGAACAAAGGAACGTACCTGCAACCATGTTCGTTACATTATAATTTTGAAAACCAGAAACAAGAGAAAGTGAAAAGAAAAGAAAAAGAGAAGACAAGATGCCCTCAAAAGATAAGATTAAGCCAGATTCACAAATCACAACATTTGAGTTGTCCTTGAGCTTTAAATAAGCAGAGTTTAATTTTTTTATTAGTATTGTTGCCACTATTTCTATATAATAGAGAATGAATAAAACAGAAAACAGACATGAGAAACTCATAGAACGAAATTTGCTGGTAAAACGCCTAATCAGAACATGGAAAAGACACTTCAGCCCAACAATTGGCATACTGGAAGTATTTCAATAAAGGCAAACTAACTACGCCAAGATAATCATTTTAGGTTCTATGAACCTGACTCAATTCCAGAGGTGGGCAAAGTATCCAATAATATCATAATCTAGGAGACTAGGACTGCAATAAGCAAATATGATATTAGAGGAAAAGAGACAAAAAAGGCTCGTGTCTCAAAACCAATTCTTGATATAGAGAGAAACAAGTCATACAATGATGGGGTGCTCTCTTATTCAACAAATATTATAGAAGCAGAATACTATTAAACTACCAATCCCTAGTCCCATCCAAGATCACAAAAATGTAATGATACAATCAGAGAAAAAATTCCAAAATGAATCCCTTTATGAAACAATCATCATATGTTAATCCTGACCCTTGATTTAGGAAAATCAGCTCTTTCCATAAGATTATATAATGGCTCAGATAATGACTACAGAATTACAGAGTATATGATTACAATAATTTTCAATTCCAAAAGAACCATTGTATATTCATCCCCCCCCCCAACTTATAAGTCACTAATCTCAAGAAAACAAAGATCCAAAAGCTCCCCCAACAAGTACATGACTTCAACCTCCCTCCCTTCCTTGAGGGGGCCGCCATAAAAGAAGCTAAACATTTACATGGAGTGATGGAAAGCATCTGCACACAACCAAATTACCCCTCTCATACAAATATTTTTTTTTCTTTTATATACAGGTGTAGAAAAAACAAGATTCTGCATCAGCATCCTGACTCTTCGGGCTGAGGCCAAATATGTAAGATACCCATCCCCTAACAGAATTGTCCTGGGTGCTACCAAGTATTTGGTAGTGAAGCAACTGAATCTCATTAGCTGGCATCATTCACAAGAGACCATGGTGTAGCTAAAATATCACAGATGGTCAACCATAAATTTTCCGAAGCGCCCTTTGTTTCAAAGGGTCTCCTTTCTTCTCATACAACATATTATCAAGTCTATCATCCTTCTCTACAAATCATTCATCTTTTGACCAAAGATTTAAAAACAATATTCTAGCGAATTTTTCTGGGATAAGTACTAATAGCTAAAGGAAAATATGTATGCCTAGGCAGGGCTACAGCGATCAGCAACTCTTAGCACATATTACAGTGACAATGGTGTCTTGATGAAGTCCAACAACAGTAACTTAAAGCACCTTTCAACTTCATGAGACATTTTAAGCTCATTTGAACTAAAACCACTAAATGCTACCAACCATCTCAAGATAAATCACAAAAATATGAAGTGTTATCATCAACTACCACCAAAATGAAACAATTCTTGAGTAAAAGCACATAAGTGTGAGTATGGAGGGCACATAATATAAAATGCCAAGAGAGAAAACACTTACTTCAGACCCACCAAGGATGCACCTGGAACTTTCTCTAACAGTTCGTACGAACTATCATCCAAAGCAGTTTTCTCAGAAGTGGAACCCTTAGTTTTAGACTTAGTATTCTTGGCCTCACCACCTGATCCATTCGGTAATTTCTCAGTTTTTACTTTATCTCTAGGAAGCTGTGACATACGAGACTCTGCAACCACATACGTAGCACCGGTAGCTTTGCTCCTGACCTGCACAAAATATATACACACAATGCGCGATTATAAGGAAGGGTCCATGTAAGAATGAAATGCTAGTCCATATCAACAGAAAAACAAGATACCCACCTTAACATAGACAAAATTGGCATTGACACACAATGCTAGATTACTAGGAAGAGTCCATGGAGTTGTAGTCCATGCCACAAGCGACGCATTATGAGGATCATCCACAATGGGAAAAGTCACCAGGATTTCAGGATCAGGTACTTCCTGCATCACTTATGCTGTTAAATAACAGCAACAGCTCAACATATACACCAATTTTGTCTAACTATGACAAATTAAAGCAATTAACAATGCCTCCAACCTTATAGTTAGAATTGGCCTCAAAATTCGATAGAGGTGTCTTCAGACCGGTACTATACGGCATAACCTGCAAAAGACAGCATATACATAATCGAATCAAAAGAGCATACGCAACCATCCACACTCAAACCAAAACCTTAAACCCCACATCACAAAACAATCAAAAACAGCATATATTATCTAACATAGTCCATTAAACCTCGGAAGTAAAACCCGATGCTAAAAAATCAAATCCCGTCTACACCACTACCCCTCCGCGACACTCAAAAACCCGAAAACAAAACAAAACCATACCTTAAACCCTCGATAAACAAGCCCCTTCTGATGCAACTGAGAGAAGACCCACCAAATAGACTCCATAAAATCCAAATCCATAGTCTTATACCCATTCTGAAAATCAATCCATCTCCCAGCTCTCCTCACAACCTCCTCCCATTCTTTAACATACCTAGAAACAATTCCTCTACATTCTTCATTATACTTATCAATTCCCATATCAATCACATCGGACCGACTCGTAATACCCAACATTGAATCAATCTCATGTTCAACAGGTACACCATGACAATCCCACCCAAATCGGCGGGTCACATGATGACCCGTCATAGATTTGTACCGGGTTATGATGTCTTTAATGGTACCAGCAAGAAGATGGCCGTAATGTGGGAGACCAGTAGCGAAAGGGGGTCCATCGTAGAAGGTGAATTCTGGGCAATTTGATGTTTTTTGTAATTGGGTTTCGAATGCTTTGATTTCATCCCAGAACTTGAGGATTTTTTCTTCTTCTTTAGGGAAGGAGAAGTCTTTTCCCTCGCAAACGTCCTCCATTGTTGAAGGGTGTGAAGAGGAGGAGGAAAGAGAAAGTGCGGCGGCGGAGGTAGGGATAGTGGCTGAGTTTGGGGGAAGTGTTGCCTTGGAGAAGACGGATACAAAATGGGGAATTTAGAGAGGTTTACCGTTTCAGGCTTTTTTTTTTTTTTTTTTTTTTTTTACTGACAGAATAAATGTATTAATTAGTATGCGGATTTTTCATTAAATGCCACTGAGTTAATGCGTCACCATATACTACACAAAATTTTTTAATTCATCAAATATCACTCAGTTAACGTACGTTAACACAAAATATCATTTTTTGTAAGCCGTTAGTAATTAAGATTAATTGTGCCACGGCAACTTGTAATTGGTTGTTATTAATATTATTTAATTACTTAAATAAAAAAATTTTAAAAAAAACAGTCATGTAGGATCTTAAATTGATTATTCTCATAAAAAATACTTTCACAATATAGTCATGTAGGATCTCAAATAGATTCGTCTCATAAAATACTTTCACAATATCAACTTTTTATAATTTTTACTCTTATACAATGATAGGTATTTAGCATATAAAATATGGTTTGTGATGTGTAATTTCATCCTTGTTGCAATATTATTGGAACGGAGGAAGTATAAAATATGATAATACTTCATAAGTTCATACTCCCTCCTTGTATTAATAAGTGTTACACTTTGACCGACATATAATTTTAGGCAATCACTACAAGAAAATAACTTTTTCGTAGCGATTATTTCAAAATTTGGTATCGATTGTAATTGCTACCAAAAAAATCCCAACGAATGCTTTTTCGATACAACATTCGTTGTTACCATAGCCTTTAGTAGTGTTTTTCGCTTTTGCTGGGTTGTTCTCAGTAATCGGTACGGAAAACTACATTCAATCGTGGTGATTATTGTAGCAGTTATATTCGCTACAACTGTTGAACTCATTTTCTAAAAAAAAAATCCCTACTTATAATCTATCTAAGATTCGAACTTACAACCTCAAGCTCAAATATTAAATGTTTTTCCAATAAGTTATGACATATTTTATGTTCTCTTTTTCAAACAAAAATTTTAAATCTAGTGTACAAAGGCTTTTTCGTATCGATTTTTGGGTTTTAGTGGCGATTGTAAATGATACGCTTTTACATAATTTTATAAATGCGCTGAAAAAAGGTGAATATACATTATTATGTTTTTCGTACCGATTTCATATGGGTTTATTATGTCGATTATAACACGACACAAATGCCTCTATTATTTCACAAACATATATGCATATGGTAACGAATGTACAATCGCTACGAAATAATCGCTACAAAAAGACAATTTTCTTGTAGTGAATTTAATTGACTTAAATAAAATAAGAGGTAAGTAGGGGTAATTGGAGTATTAAAAATTTGTAAAAGAAATATAGTGGGGTTAATAATTTATTGAAAATTAATGAATGTGAAAGGGAAGAAATAAAAATAATAATAAAAAAAGATAGTAGTGGGTTTGGGTGAAGACGATGAAAGGAGAAAGATATAATATTAAATTGTAAGTATAACACTTATTAAAACACAGAGGGAGTATGTAGTATTTTATACATACCTTCAAATGTTCAATGTTCAATAAGTATATTTTGTATGGAGTATATGTAATTTTGTAACGAATTTTCTTAAAAAGATATACGTAGTATATTGTTGTTGTTACAAATATAGTGTTGAATTTAAAATAATAGTGAAATTATCTTGCTAACCTAGTATAACAGTAACAAAGTAACCCCTATTATATTACGGAATAAATCTTAGTATACTTATTGAATAACTCTTAACAATAAATTAACCCTTACAACACTAATAGAGTAATCCTTGTATTACCAACTAATTAACTCATATAACTAACCCTAATAACACGAAACCCCTATAACACTAATCGAGTAACCCCATGAAAAATGGTCACACCGTATAACCTGTTAATTATGAAAGTTTGTGATAAAAAACTATTGAGTTTATTTTTATATATATTTTTGTTATACAATATAACTGGCTAGCCACCTTGCATCTCCTCAAGTCCTCTCCTTTCTTCACTCAAACTCTAACTATTAGTGAATTTTAAAACTTTGTTAGCAAAAATTGATTTTGGCACACCCTTATGTGAGAAGAACATACAACACTGTGTTCTCACATAGAGGTGTGCCAAAATCATTTTTGGCGTGCCAAAATCATTTCCCTTTGTTAGCAATTGGTTGTTGATTGTTGGTTGTTCAATTTGGCTAGATTGGCTAGTTGTTTGTATTGGTTGGATGCATGGTTTGTTTTGTGATTGGCTACTTGTTTGTATTGGTTGTTTGGTGATTGACTTTTAAAAAAAATGTTTGGTAAAATCAACTACTCGTTGATTGTAACAATGTAAAATGGCTTTAAGAACACTAACTATAAACCGTGAATAATTTACTATTGAGTATTAATAATTAATTATTATGGAGTAACAACTAATCACTATTATTAATTAAGGGGCAAAAAAAAAATCAACATTGTAAAAACCAAAAGTCAAAAACTACCCATATAAAAATTATAGCTGTGAGCCTTTGACTTTAGATATAGTGGCAAAACAATGTCTTTGAGAAAATATGAAGAACAAATTGATAAGTATAAGTGTATATTGTGTATAACAATATACACTTGTGAAATACATACATTTATTTTTTCCTGAATTTGAATTGATTAGGAATTGGGGTGTTTAATATCGCCATAAAATATAATCAAAACCTCTAACATTTAGTATAAATGGATAACCATGCATCACCACCATCTTCCCTTTTGCCACCAATCACTAACATTTTGACGCCACCACCCTGATCGGCGACGACCACCACCACCCTGACCGGCGACGATCACCACCCCCACAGAATGTGGTGGATTTTTTTAAAATTCTAGCAACCACGGTAATCAGAGCTGTAAACCGGACAGTGTCCAGTTTTGGGCTCCGATTACTAACCGGCTACCAGAAATAAAAAAAAACACCACCTTCCCCCCGGCAAGGGAAGGTGGTGGGTCGTCATTGAGGGAGATGTTGTGGGCCGCCGGTCAAGGTGGTGGTGGTCGTCGCTGGTCGGAAGGGGTGGTGGGTCGTCGGGGAGGATAAAGTGTGGTGAAGTAGTAAGGGCATGGTTGTTCATTCACTCCAAATGTTGGTGGTGGTGATCATTTTTTATGACGTTGTTTAACAATCCACTTAGGGATTTAGTGATAAGGGTTGGTAATTGCTGACTATAAAATGGTCACATTAAACTTTAATTATACAAAATCATTGCAGATTATTGTTTTGGAAATAATCCATTACACCAAACTCTTAAATTCACTTATAAAACTCATTCGCAAAGATATTTAAAATGGCATAGAGGGTTAGATTATTGACATAAAAGTCTCCTATATCGCTCAATATGTTATGTATAAGGTGTATGAATGAGCTAAGGTGATCCGAATCATAGGTGACAAAAAAATTTGATTGAGCATGGGTCACTTATGTCAAATTTTTCTTCTCAATCTTCAAAAATTGAGAACATATGTGTTTCGGGGTTTTCTGATGTCCTGCGGGAGAGTTACAATTTCGAGACTGGAACCGGACGCCTGTACCTGCAAAATAACGGAGACTCCTGGGAGCTCCGCCTCCAACGGTCAAGTTAGTACCTGATTAAGGAGTAATTAATGCGGAAATTAAAGTAATAAGGTCTCTCTAGGTGAGAGTGTTTAATGTTGGTAATCTGCTTTGTTAGCGAGATCAGCCGGTTATTAGTGTGTTCCGTAACGTTTCTGTTCTGTTCCTCTCCTTAATGAGGATTAAGGGAGGTATTTATAACCTTGGGAAACGTGCCCATCCTAGGTTTAGGTAAACCTAGGGCCGATTGGGCTTCCCTCGGAAGTTGGGCCTGGGTGGCCGGTTTTCCCATTTGGCATGGGTGGACACGTGGCGTGTCTCAATTGGTCCGTAGAGGACGTATCTGTGATTGACACGTGGCAGGCTCCTATTAGCCTACGTGAAGGACACGTGGCGGAACCTGGTTGGTCCACTTGTCAGACGGTGATTGGTGGATAAAAATCCCCTAATCATTTGCCCCTCACAGGTGGCACGTGACTGGTCACGTGTCACCTGTGACAGGTGCCGCACGGTGACAGGCGACGGCCTGCTACAGGTGTCACCTTGCAAATGGCCGAGAGATTTTCCCGCCCAAATTTTGAATTTGGAAGCGACCCTTCGCCTTCTCACTTTGCCTATATAAGGAAGTGCTGACTTCGGTCATTTTCACATTTGAGAACTTTGCGAGAACATTCGGACCCCTGAACTTGCTCTGACATTTTGGACCTTTTCTGCCTACTGCCTGTTCTGACAAGCCGACTGCACAGGATTTTCAGAACTACATCAACCGTCACTCGTTCAGGTAACTGTCAGTTCTCTTACTCTTAATTTTTCTTTTTATTTTTTGAAATGGCACCACGGAAGCACACGACACGACCTAAGTTAGTGATCAGCCGGTCACCGGGGACGGCTGAATCTAGGACTAGGAGTGCCGCCTGCCCTTTTCTGGACCCATCTTTGCCCTTTATACAAAGTCCGACTGTATCTGTGTCTATGTAGAACGTGATGGCCAGAACAAAAAAGACTGCTATGATCTCAAACTCGGACGGCTCCTCCCAAAGGGTGCTCATTAGTGAAACATCTGACCAGGCGCCAGATGTAGAAGTGAAACGAGGCGGCTGCCAAGCCGACAGTTCTGAGGGAGGGGTCAAGGTGGTCCCTTCCCATTTCACCGTTATGTCTAATTTTCCTCCTGCTCCTTCTAAGGGAGAGGAGGCGGGCCCCTCTGGGAGAGGGGAGGAGTCGTCCTCAGTCCAGCTCTTCTGGCCACGCTTCTCCAGGCTCAGAAGAAAGAAACAGCCGCCTACAAGAGGCGAGGCTTTCTCATGCAGTTGAGAAGGGGGGAAATTGGGCGGAGCCGTCCGCCTCTTACAGAGAGGAAAACACCCCCTACTACTGCACGGTACCCCGGGGCCGGATCGCAGCCATGCAAGACAAAGTGGAGAGCTTTATAGCTAACCACAGAATGGGCCCCGACTTTCTAGTGTTTGTGCCGGATCCAGAAGACACTGTCGTCTGGCCGGCTGGTACCAGCTATGATGACGGC